TATTGTATTGTATTGTATTGTATTGTATTGTATTGTATTGTATTGTATATGCCTTTTCATAGCAGTATCCAGAGTTGCTTAGGTAAATATCTAACATAAATCCAATAATTCATTCGAGGTTTTCTGTAAGGGAGTGTGGAGTTTTCATCCATGTATTTGAAGTTTTGACGAGTTCTTTTGAGGGAAAAAAAATTTTTTTGTGAACAAAATTTTTTTTTTACATTGCTTTGTGCGTTATTAAGGCCAAGAGCAGGGCGATGTTGTTGATCGCAAAGTCAACACATGCGTTCGTACTGATAGAGAGGGGACACATAAAACGGTGAACGATTTGGACAATACTTGACAAATTCCTCCGATATCAACATAACTCGGCACTACTCCTCACTACTCCACACGGAGAGAAAAACACAGGAAAAATTACGTGACTAATCATGTAATGGTGGGCTGAAGTGTCATTTCGTTGATTTTTACTGGAGAATTTGGGAAAGAATGAGAGACGAACAGTGAATTTTATTATTTGCTCTGGAAAATTTACGTGACTGTTACGTAATTTCTTACGAACTTGTAAAATTTACCACAGTTCCGGTTATAATTATTCCGAGTAAAGTAAAAATTATCCAGTTTCACTTGAATCTTACGTGACGTACCGTAATTTTTACGTGACCGAATTGAAAAATTCTTAGAAAGCGTTGGTACGACTGTTGGTCATACCCGATCGCGAATCATTGTCTAAGTTCGGATCACGCCACCCGGCAAATTACAATTGTCGGAAAGATAATTAGTATATTGTGCCTCTAGGGAGTAAAGTATTTTCTGACGAAATGTGAGTATAATCACATGAGTCAGAAAATACTTTATTTCCGTGAGGCACACAATATTTTATTCTCACAGGGACCGGAAACGGCGGTCTAACCGAGCGAAGCGAGGTTAGAATCGTACTTTCCCGTCCCGGCACAATTGACGGAATTGAGGATCGTTATTTTTCTATCGCCAAAGGTCACTTTTTACCGACCGAGTGGTAAAATGTTCTGAATGATCGGCACTTTTTCCGATTTTACATTTCGTCCCACGTTTACCTTTCACACATGAATTTTTACGGAACTTTTTACGTACTTTTTCCAGTATTTTTCTCTCCGTGCACCGACTGTTCTGAGCGACATATCCCGGTTACACTGCTGTAGCTATTCCACATAATTATACTGCGTATTTCATGAACTTCGAGTTCAGCCAATCGTAACGCAGTATACGACACTGTCAAATAATTTTAACTCAGAAATTTCTAAGAGTTTCCGCATCAAATTCACTAGTAACTTTTCAGATATTTCTCATTTTTTGAGGCATCTTACGTTCAAAATTCTGTGTGAAAGATGGACAAAATCTATATTATCCTAAACGTAATTGTAAGGCAAGGTTTTTTTGAGGAAGTCATGCAAATGAAACTCATTTTTTTTCATTGATTATACAATTCGTCGTGAATTATTTTACTCCAATTTCCAGAAGAGACTGTCAGAGTTTTGTGTTTCTCTAAACGACTATGTAAATACATGTAGATGCTGTTCACGGTACTCTGTTTGGCTAAAATCCAAGTGAAAACAACCTCTGTAGAATACCGCTTAGGCTTGAATTTGAAATTTGAAAGTTTGGATAATTTCCTAGTGGTAGTCTTACTAAAGGCTATAAAGGCAGACAGAGATAGAGCGGCAGGGGGGTAATATAAGCGTTTTAAATTCCCGAGGGACCAGTTGTGCTTGATCATGCTATTGTGGTACGTATTGGTTAGCACTGTCGCCATCAAAGGAGTCAACATTTGTCGTGGACCTACAACAAACATTCAGTAGAAAAGGATGCATCAATTTTTTTCTTTCAAGTCATCTTGGAAAAAGTCTTCTCACTCTATAGTAATTAATGTTTTGAAGGATTTCAATGAATTTTACGTGTTTCAACGAGTAAATGTATATGACGACTGAAACGTCAAAAACAGTATAACTACAGAACTCTTTATCAGAATGCTGTAGATATTCCGCTGAATCATAAAAGTTGATATCAAAAGAAATATATGTTTAATAAAGAAACGCAATTGTCTAGTATTTTCATAGCTTTCCAGAAAAGTTAAGGGTGTTTGAAAACAATGACCTGGTTCTATTCACGTGCCATCTCCTGATTTGCTACCCTGATATTTGACATCATATGAAGTTTCAAGATTTCATATCCGTTGTTTTATAAGTTATCGTATTAAAAACCAATTTTTGAAAAAGAAATTGCCTGAAAAAAAAGCCATAGTACAACATCGCCTGAAGTACAATAGTTTTTTATTACCCAACTGACAAGGGATGTGGATGAATATTCGGAAAGCAAAAAGTGACATTCCAGAATATAATTGAGAAGATATCATCAAAAACGTGTTTTTGGACATCAATATGTTTCTGCAATCGTTCAACTTGTTTGGCCCAAATTCAACAGAAGTTTAGTTATCAGGAATACTGATGAATTAGCATTCTAAAAACGGACATGTGAAAATGAATATCCATATAGATATAGATGCAGATATTCTTTAAAAATCGTGTCCACTTATTTAATGCCATTTCCAGGTGTATCCGTCGAAACGTAGAAATTCAAATCAAATCGTTATCATAATGGATCCAACGGAAGCAAAATGGATACCTTTTTATAAAAATTGATAACACTAGTATCATAAAATTCTTATTCTGAAACCTCAAAAACTGGAAAAATTTAGGTGTATAGTTACTGAGTAAACATTTCAGTCATGCGAAGGGTAGATTACTTTTCCGAAGAAATTCACGCCGAGCCACTTTGGTGTCTGAATCCACTACCATATTTTTGATACTGTTTGGTAAACAAAACTGATAAAAATTGAACTATTTTTTAATGTCTTTAGGAAACTACTAAACTAATTGAATAGAGATTTGAAGGAATTCACAAGGTTTTTCTAAAATAGGTATTTGTTTATAAAATTGTGTTTTATGAAATAGATATTTTTTTATAAAATCGTATTTTATAAAATAGGTATTAAATTGAGGTTTAATAGGAAAAGGTCAAAAACCACAAATAAATTTTTGTAAAAAATGCGCCAACAAAAAGTTTTATGTATTAGTTTACCCTGAAAATTTTCAAAAAATAATTAGAAATTAAAAGGAGGGTTAAACTAAAAATCTTATTCTAATTCTTCGTTTGCCAATCAACGCCCAGAACGCCCAGTTTTCCTTCAACAATTTTTTTTTTAATTTCTATTAATTTTCAAAAAAATTTTACGGCAGACCATTGTAGCAAACTTCTTCTAGGCGCATTACAAAAAATATATATTTTTGGTTTTTTTAACACGCGTTATATATATTGTTTTTAATTTAAAAAAATAGTTATTATATTTCATGGATTCATCTTCAAATAAAATAAGCGAACATTGTCGATGGAAATTGGTCTTTACATTATGGTTCGTGGTGTTTCTTTTGAAAAATCAATCGTAAAAACGCAAAATCTTATGAAATGTAATGAAATTTTTTTTATAATTCAAGTTTCATATAACATTGAAAACACACTCAAGCCCATTGTTGGTAGTATTTTAATTTTCAACGTACATAGGCTCCCATTCGGCTGTGGCAGTGCTGCCGCGAATTGATTATGACTATTCCATAATGTAAAATCGTGACAATGTGAACATGGAACTGTTGCTCAGCGCATATTTTCTTAACTATGCATGCGAAAAATATGAAATTTACACCATTGACAAGAGCATAGCCGATTTATATACCGTAACAAAGGACAATATTTCAATTCATTGTCAGTTGCTCGAAATAATTATTAAAAATCATAGACATAGCGGAGGGAGTAATTATGTCGTGTATAGACACCCGGTAGAGCTCGGCTTTTTCTTGGCCGAAGCCATACCGGGCATTTGGAGTCAAAAACTTTCACAAAACTGACAAAAAGCATTTTCAAGCAAAAGCACATTTCAAGCCTTATTCATAGTTCAGGAAATGATATTCGAATTTCTGAAATCAACTACTTACCAACGAAAACATTTCAATTGAGCAAATGTGAGTGTTTCATTTTTAATGTTCTGTCTTCTAAGTATGGTTTAAGAAAAACCTAAATAGAGTACGGTAGAATAAGGTACATGCAGTAAAAATGAAAAGTCCAAACATGCAACTTTTAAACACTGTGGGAAAATTCGTTAATAAGTCTATGTACCAAATTTTCCCAAATTAATGGCGGAGTGAGCTTTCGTGTTTGTGTGAAGTCGAATCACTTTTTGCTCTCAGGTATGAATAGTATTACTTTTTAGTCGTCGATATTAATGAGACTTTGACTTATTTATTAATTTTTTTACAAATTTAATGTTTTTCAAAAATTGACTTTTCTGTACTGCTTCTCACGATTTCTCATCTGGGAATTGGTTCTGCATTTCTCGCCTGCTTCTCGAACGCCACCTCCACATAAGTAAAAAAACCCCATTCCAAGAGCTCAGAAATATATTACTTTCGTGATAATTGAACGAAAAATGTTATGAAATATTTCAATGGTGGCTTGAAAAATATATTCCGACGTCTTGTTGTGCGAGTGTAAAGGTGGAAATAATATGAAAAATTGTTTTAGCGATATATAAAGCATTCTTCGTCGAGTCGGTAACCTATCTTCTCCATGTTTCCAAAATGATTTGCGATGATTCTCTTTGAGTTTCTATACTCGATTTTGAAGACTTCTCTCAAATGTTTAACAATAATGGGATTGGGATGTAACGCAAGTGATTAGTTTCTCAAGTTTTTTTTACTTATACCTGAGTCCGAAACGTTAAATAATTTTTTTAATGCAATAACATCTGCTCTACCAGCTCTCAAAAAAAAAATATTTTTCCTTTTGTTTAATGAGAAAGTAAGCCTTGAAACTGTAAAAACTAATTTTAAAAACGTAAAAAAGGAATGTTCTTTCTCCGAGCGTTTTAATTAGGATGAGAAGAATTCAAAGGATCGCCGGTTCTTCTTAGAAGAAAAAAATTGAAAGCTTTTTTGATGATATTCTTGTCGTCTCTAGAAGCTTGTAAACTTCTGTCTAAAGCATTTGCTGTCACGAAATGTCTCTCAGTGTTAAATGAGTTGCAACTAGCAGGAAAAATACGTTGCCGGCCGATAATTTTCTGTTTTCCCTTAAGGAAGGCTGAAATGATTATCTTTTTATTGGAAAAATAAATATAACAACAGAACCTGTGCATTTTTTCATAAATATTCAAACAACCTGCGATAAAAAATCACGTTTTGAGACATGATCTCCCATTATGATTGAAAATTGTACAAAAAACGTGAACATCTTTAAAAAAAAAAGAAATTGAAAGAAACCCATCGTAAGTAAATACGCGGGACATGGAGGAAAACGATGAGCCCCTTGACGAAAGATGCTCCATAGAGGAGAGATGGCCCAAAATAGTACTTTGAAATTTTTTTAATTCTGGGCTTGTCATGGGGAGTTCTACTTGAATTAAATTCGATTAGGCTTCGAAATTATGGGACTGATGCTACATGGTTGAAGTTTGGAGATAATTATATATTTATATATATTATTTGATATAATTTTTCAGACGACCATTCCAAAGCATTGCACCGATTTATTAGCAAAACTGGCTATACTATATAGAATAAAACGGGATTCCTCACTTGTTGTAACGATGTTGATGTAAGTCGTGAAAATTACCTGGTTATTTGTAGTGAAAACTGGTTGGGAAATTCTCATTTTTGCTTAGATACACTGTTTGTATTGGAATCTCTAATCGATTTCATCGTGCATATACTTGAGTGATAAAATGAAAATATAACTACACACTGAACATTATGATGTTTTCTCCTTCAAAGCATCAGAATAGCATAACAATCGCGGAAATCAATTCGAGTATCGTTACATTTTCATCAAAAAATTCAGAAAAATTGCTCAACTTATCGACTTTTAATACTTGGGCAATAAAGATTTTATTAGGAAGCGATTTCACAATTTCTCTGTTAAATTTGAAAAAGTTTTCAATACAATTTTTAACAGTTAGAGGCTCATTTGATATTAATAGTATTATTGATTCACTGTAATAAATAATTGCCCGCTTCAGCAATATTCTTGCAATAGTTGAAATTACAGGTCAAAATCCCCGATTCTCATAACTGTTGTGTATATACTTGATTTTTTTTTCCCTTGGCAGGAAAAGAATGCTTGAGATGTAGGTGTAAGTTTGTTATATCGCTAGGTCTTTCGTCAGTTCAAAATAGTATCAATAGAATCACAGAAAGAATGGAATGATGGACTTATTGGGAATTATTTTCTCCATGCACGTTTCCCGCAGACGCTTATAAGGATTGACGGTGGTCGAGTGAGGCCAATTACAATAGTTTAACGGCCGGTCGAGAAGTAAAGGACTCAACACTATTATGTTTTAATAATACTTCTATTCTTCAATAAGTCGACAGAAACACGAAATCAGTCAAATGCATCATCATCGATAGTGCTCAGTGATGGTATAATTAAAAAGTGAATGAATGGCTTCAAAACCTGATATTTATCTTATCCAGATAATACCCGGAATAATTTTTTTGTCCATTCTCACAAACGATTAAGATTGAATGAAGAGCAGCTTCAATGGAATGTAATAATCGAAACAAAGGGAGATACGATCCAGATAATCGGTTATTGTAAACTCCCTGCAAAACTTTCTACAGGTATGAAACAGGTGGTAATAACCTCGAGACCTTGAGGAACTCAAGTCGACTGCGGGTTGTGTACGTGATGTAAGATGCAACCGATTTTCCACTACGAACAAGTTATTCGCTATTATACATGACTAGACTAATTCACAGTAAGGTCAATGATCGCTCATCTAATTTTTTTTTCTCGTCCGGTGCAGGAACTATCAGAATTCGTTGAATAATTCTTGCCCCACCCCCAGTGATGTGAAAATACATATTGAAATATGTTCCTTAAAATTTCCCGTATAAATGGAATATTTTACAAAAATCGTAATAATAAATAAAATGATGTACAAACCTGCAACGAGACACGTCGTGACAAGAAGTAACAGAACAATCTTCATATTGTGAGTTTGCCTTCAAAAATGTTATACTCAAGTAATAATTGTTTAGCGACGACAAGATCAACTGTTTGAGAATTCGAAATAAATGCCGGATGTTAGAGTTTAGGATCGCGTTCTCAAACTGGCCCTGCGTAGCATTGTGAGCTCCCTTAAGAATCCTCTGGCGAGACGACGAGAGAACAACATGGGTGGGGGAAAACTTAGTTGAAGATGATTCACTTGACCAACACCTTTGAAGGAAATACATCAAAATGATGGTGCGTGCTGGCTCGCATGGTGTTCAAGTTGCCGTTTTTCGTTTTTCATGTGTAGCAATAGCTAGACATGCATGTACGAATAGTACACAATAATTATGCTAATAGACATACAGTCCCCAATAAAGGAAATTTACAATAAAAAAAGGTTTTCATAAAGAAAAATAAATGCTGGTCGACAGCACAAAAGACGAAAAGGGGGGTGGACGAGAAATTTTGGTTCCTATTCCGTATATAAAAATGTGTAAACTAAAAATTATTAGCGAAATGTTACTTTTTGCTTCAAATTCTATTGCAAATATATGCTAGTACATCGTTAGATAAATTGGATGTGGTAGGTGTAGAAGCATGCATTTCCACACATAAACGCCACAGATGGGTCAGGTCTCATATATTCAACACACACACAGATAACACTATCCATAAAGTACCATATTTTAAACATAATTTACAAGATTTCTGATTTCGTACGGTACTAGTTCAAAGATTACAACTCGACCATTTTTATGCGGGAAATTACGATTTATATGTCGTAAATTAAGAGATCCATCTTGTCGATAACAAGTTCAATCTCATATATTACGATTACCTATCTCTGAACCACGATCTGGTAAATTGCGAGTTGTATATCGTAAAATATAAGGTCCAACTTCGTAATTTATGCTCTGTTTCTCGTCATTTACGCACCCTTTTTTTGTAATTTTCACCGGGCTTTTTGAGGGAGCTCTAAAACTTACAGTTCCCACAAAAATAAATATTATAATATTATTCTGTATAGGTTTTCTCAGGAGGGATGTCATCCGGGTTCAGAAATCATTTTTTTTTCTGTCTGTAGCCGTTTTTGTTCTATCATTACTTTATACGTTCATTTTTTTTACTCATTTTTAATTTCTACCAATACAATTGGTAATAAGCTTCCGAATATATCTGCAGCTATTCCAACAATAATCATATGTATGGGGTATAATCATTTGACATATAAAATCCCAGTGTTAAAACAATCTTAAATACTTAAAAAATTACCCATAAATTGTTTTTTTTTTAATTAAATTTAATTGATAAATAAAATAATTTCCCTTTATCACTGTAAACAAATCACTTATAATTATATATGTCACCTACGTTATGGGCCATTTAAATATATGAATATAAAGAACTCATATTTCAATTATCTGGGTCTTATACACTCGCACTCACACTCGCCCTCCCCCACCTCTCGCTCTCTTTCGGATGATTGAATACTTTGGCCGCTTCTTTAGCCTAGTTTAATTTGTTGTTTTTATTGTTTTCTCCATGAAATCGTCTGCATAAGTAAACCGATACTGAAATCAATTTTTAAACATATGAGAATATTCTATTAAAATAATTGTGTTTTTCCAGGATTATTGAATATCGACCTTCTACATGTATTCTATATTCTGTTATAAAAGGACAACCATCGAGACTATCTCGAAACTCTGTAACGTTTATTCCTCATTAGTTCATATTGAGGCGCCTAATTTGAATTTAAAGCTAATTGATTGTTGAAATTTTCAATTTAATTAAATTTTGTTGGAATATTTGAGTACAGATTCTCCATTGTAGTACAAAAACTACTCGACAAAGATTTATGACATACTGGGAAAATAGTGCCAGAAAAAGGACTAGTTTACAATCGCTTCATTTGCACTTTCTGGAACGGTTTAATGTTAAACATATGTTGAAATTTGAAGAAGGACTGCATTCTCTTGTGTCATAAACTCTTACTTTTATTCTTAGTTTTAACAGTGAGAATTCTTGCTTTTATGGTCATTGTCAGTCTTATGACAACTCTTATTCGGTAAAGACGTTCCTTCCTCGTGTTAACAAAGAAAAGTTTATCAAACATTAAACAGCTTCTTAAAAATTATTTATTCACTTGCACCCATATTCCAATAAATTTTAATTTGATTTTTATAATTACCGTGAGCTGTAGCGCGCGTTTGATGTTGTCTCATCTATATTATGTCATAAATAGTGGCTCTCAGCATAATTACGCCTCCCATGGACGACATTAGCCTTTACACGAGGTCCCGTTCCGATAAGGTTTAATTTTACCTTTTTTTAAAGAGAAACGAAATAGAAGTCTATTATTGCACTTGCTACTTTAATAAGAAATGCTTGTCAGAATTTTTTAATTTACCTTACTTGAAAAGATTTCTTAGTCTTTAATTTTTAAAGATTTTTCGAACGATTCTTGGTGCACATAATTTTTTACAACGGTATTGAGTCATTGACTTCCCAAATCAATTTTCAATGGTTTCCATGAGCGTACTTGTGATAGGGCTACGCACAATTGTCGATAATTGAATACGTTTTTTGGAAGATCAAGACCAATTTTGTCGAATGTTTATCCTTGAGATTTACTGATTATAATTGCAAATGTTCATCTGATAGGAAAATGTTGTCGCATAAATGAAAGTGGATATATATCTTCACATATCAAACGAATTCGATTTAGAAATATAACATGGTTCAATTAAACTCCTGTTTTATCTCCGTACATTTCCAGTTAAAATTTCACATTTCAATAAATTAGTTCCAAATTCTAGTAATAGTAATCGAGTAGCATTGACTAATCTTTCGTTCATCCTAAGAATTGTTATTAACATGACAATTGAAAATTTCCGTCGCCGTAGCTTATATTGTGCTAGCGAGCTTGGAGAGAGAGTGTTTAGATATTCTGGAGCTCTGTGAAGTGGGCATCCCACCTGGCTGGATTGTAACAAAAATTGGGTATTAGATGGATTTTGAATAGCAGGTCAATGTAGTAACAGTTTCTTGGTTTGGAGTTGAAAAATAATCATTCCATCGATTTTTAAAAGACCATTACGATCTTTTATACATATAGTTATATCCCAATCGGCATTAGATTGTTTTCTGCAATGGTTTGTAGTTGATTGTAGCTTGGGAATTTTTTAAATCCGAATTTCTACAGGAGGTCACTTGAGTTTTGAAATACAGTCAGACATTTGTTCATGGTTGGCCCTTGAATCATGCAGAATTCTTATGTTGTAATTTTTCCCATCCGAATTTCCGCATGCGTTTAATTTATTTTTCACAAGCAGCCATGAACTTTTCCATGATGGACGCTTCAGGCATGTAGGATTCTTATCTGCAATCGTTTGTAGGTGATTGTAGTTGTCGGCTTTATCGAATTCAACTACAATTGAGCGTTCAATCGATTTTCGGAATCTAATACGAAAATCATTATTTACTACAACCAATGTAATAATCCGATGCCTGTCTGCAATCGTTCGCAGTTGTGTCTAGTATTTTGTATTTACAATATTATATATATATTTTGTATTTCCAATGCAATGCAATAGATAAATGGATTTTCTGTAGTGGTATCAACAAATTATTTTTCGGTATCATCCCAAAATGAACAATAATCATTTGTAGTTATTCATACACGGAGAGAAAAACCCAGGAAAAATTACGTGATTAATCACGTAATCGTGGGCTGGAGTGTCATTTCCTTGATTTGTCCTCGAAAATTTGGGAAAAAATGAGAGACGAACCGTCACCCGGCAAATTACTATTGTCGGAAGGATAATTAGTATATTTTGCCCCTAGGGAGTGAAGTATTTTATGACGAAATGTGAGTATAATCACATGAGTCAGGAACTACTTTATTCTCGTAGGGATTGGAAACGGCTATCTAACCGAGCGAAGCGAGGTTAGAATCGTATTTTCCAGTCCCGGCAAAATTTACGGAACTGAGTATCGTTATTTTTCTACCTCCAAAGACGACTTTTTACGGACCGAGTGGTAAAATGTTCTGAATGATCGGCACTTTTTCCGATTTTACATTTCGCCCCACGTTTACCTTTCGCACATGAATTTTTACGGAACTTTTTACGTATTTTTTCCAGTATTTTTCTCTCCGTGTAATATTCGCAACTTTTAATTTTAATATTAAAACTATACTAAAATGAACAATATGGTTATTGTGAATTTATATTAAAAAAATTCGTTTCCGTCATTATAATGGCAGCTGGAATGACATGGGCTTCCTATCTCCGAATGTTTGTAGTTGATTTTGGTTTCGCAATTTTTCCAATCCGAATTTCCGCATGCATTCAATTTATTTTTGCCAAGCCGCCATGAACTTTTTCATGGTGGAACGCCTGCGTCATGTAGGATTCTTATCTGCAATCGTTTGTAGGTGATTGTAGTTTTTGACTTTATGCAATTCGAATACAATTGAGCGTTCAATCGATTTTCGGAGTCTAATTTGAAAATTATTGTTCACTACAGCCAAGGTAATATTCCGCGCCAGCGTCCGAGCCCGCAAATGTAGGGACTCATTTGGATCTACACGACGAACCTATATTAACGTTAACCTATATGTCACATACTTTATTTATTCGTGGGGCTCTTGAAAAATTTAACAATTTGAGGTCATCATTTTAATTGACAATTAAGAGGTCCAACTATTAATTTTTTCGGAATGTTGGATGCAAGTCGGAATTTCTTTTCGGAAAATCCTTCATTATTATTGGCGATATTAATATTGACCAATCAGATAGTCTCGCGAAGTTGACGGACAAATTGAGCATAGCCTTATTTAACACTTCTCGTTTGGACGTCTGGACGCATGCAGCAAATTGCAAATTTTTGCTGCTTTTGAGGTTTTTTATTATTTTATCGTGCGACGACAAAGGATTTGACTTGGAAGCTATTTTGGAGGACCTGTCCTGCTACTTTCCTGCGATTTTGTTTAGATAAAGACCGGAGTGCGGTGGACAAGATATTTGAAATTGTCGAATTTGAATGGATTTTGTTAGACTAATTCCTAATTTCTGGACTTATTGTCCATGGCGACTAACGCCATTTTTGTATATTCAAATTCTTGAAGTG